AGGGGAGGAAGGCCTGCCTTTATCTTCAATCATCCCAAGAGAACCCAGGGTCCCTGGGTGTCGGGCAGCATATACATTTATTAGCACCACCACCGCCACCATCACCATCATCTTGGATTAGGGGCAGCTTCAGATGCTGACAACAGCAGTGAAATCGTGAACTGAAACCCGCTTCACACAAAATGAAAACTAATCGGATTCACTTGCTTTTGCCTTAGCAGGAATCTAGCCAAGTTTTAAACACTAGTTAAGCAAACTATGCGGGATACTGTTTTACTGAAAGAGGTATTATAATATTTTAGCCTCCTGAACTGAATTTCATAAGAACTCACCACTTTATTACTTGTTTTAGAAGTTTCTTTTTTTTTAATGTTACAGTTTTATGTCAGAAATATTGTTCTAATTTGGCCCAAGTTTTGATTAGCCAGAGTGGAATTAGAAGCTTAATGGGTGGCCATGCACAGTAGATACGACAAGCCACCCACATAGGTATATGAAACAAGTCAGGATAACATCATGCAATTCATGACATCACTGTGCATCTGACGTCACTTGGTCCCCCTTTGTGGATGCCCACGGCCATTGCACCCATCGAAGCCCATGGGCATGGATCCAGTTTCCAGGGAGCACAGATCACCCACTCAGGCTGGTGGCCAAGGACAGGCCTACTCCGATGTCACTCCTGGAGGAAGAATGGGGCTTTATTTCCATAAGAGGGCAAGTGGTTTGCGTTGGTGAAGTTCTCAGCGCAAATCACGCAAACCATTCCTGGGGAGGGGGGAACACTGGCCAGAGGACCACAGGCTCGGTACTTCAGTATCTGCGAGAGTTGAGTTTTGCTTTGTGTGATGTGGGAACCCAGCTGTCATCTGTGCAGAGCAGCCGAAGGAAGGCTGCAATTCCAGATGAGCCCCAGTGTGCTTTCTGGGGCCGAGAGGAGCCATTTCAGCTGCTGTGGGTCCCTCTCTCCCCTCCTCGCAGGAAGGAAAGCCCAGCAGAGCCCCACTGGCAGCCCTGTACCAGTCCCTCCTGGCACTGCGCGCAAAGTCCTTCTCCTTGCATGACCCCGACCTGGCCCTGCTGCCCCTCCCCAGCCACGCCGAGGACCTTGTGGCTTTCCTCCGGCCAGGCGCCTGCTCCAGCCTTCTGGTGATCCTGAACCTGAGGCTGCAGCCCTGCCAGCTCAGCCTGGAAGAACTCGGCTTCCCAGGCCGGGCCAAGGTGGTGCTCAGCACCCACCCCACACCCCAGAAGGGAGCCAGCGTGGAGACGGTAAGGCTGGTGCCACAGCAGGCCGTCCTGCTCCAAGTGCCCCGAGGATACCGGGCGTGATTGCTGCCACGGAATTCAGCTCCACGGGAGGCACCCAGCCGGTGGCCCACAGAATAAGAAAGGAACTCTTGCTGCCCCCCCCCCACACATTGTGGGGTTTGGGCCAATGTATGTGATGCTCCTGCCCAATTGGCTGCTGTACTTACTCTTCTGCAAATTAGTAAAATCAGCTTGACACAACTGATTTCAAGGGATCTGTGCAGAATTGGGTGAAGGGAGGACGGATATGCCCCCCACATGTGTGCATGTGTAAAGTGTGTGTTCTGTAACGACATGGGAATCAACTGCCCACAAGAACCGGGGGTCCCTGCTGGCACAAAAAGGCCACCGCGCTTACTACTCTGGGGTGCCAACTCCCTGGGCTGGCCATGGCTTCCCTCCCACAATACAAACAGGAGGAGGCAGGTGCCTCTGGCAGGGTGCCCCTTGGACTGAGTTGGCATCTCCCTGCATTTGACTGGCAACTCAGGACTTGCAGTGGCTGAGGACAAGCAGGAGAAAAGCGTCCTCTGAGCATACATAGGCCGGAATCACTCAGGCCAGTCCACACGCAATTTAAGATGGCCCTCTCCTGCAGCCCCAGGAAATGGCGCTGCATATGCACACATGCGCAGGCAGAAAACAGAAGGTGAGGGAGAGCGGGGCAGGGGCTGAACTGTGCTGCAAGACCCCGCCTTGGATGGGACCAGGCCTCTTGCTAGGCAGCTGCGGAGCCAGGAGAGGCATGAGCGCGGGAGGGTGAGAGGACCACCTGGCTCCCCAGCCTCTCCCCCAGGACCAAGGAGCTGCCGCCTGACAGAGCCCCCAAAGCGGGGGGGAGGGGGCTTCAAGAGTGCTCCCAGCAGCTGGTACTGCTCCCCATGCCATAGCATCCACCCCCTCGGGGGTCCTCCTGGCAACTTCTGAGAGCCCATTCCCACTTTGATTCCCAAAGTGAGATGCGTCTTTCAGGCGGACCCAAAGCTCGCCTCGCTCAGCCCCACCGGGCCGTGGGGAGGCTGGCAGGAGAGGGAGGGGGAGGGGGAGGGCGAGGGAGAGCCGCCGCCG